AATTCTCAAGCTCATGGTAACTGAGGGTATATAAATTAAAATCAAAATAATATCTGTTTTGCACCCACCATTTTGGCAAACATTAAAAAGTCTGATTTGAAAAAGCCCAAAGAGCCAAGGCAATCCTAAGCAAAAAGAACAAAGCTGAAGGCATCACACTACCCAACTTTAAACTATAATACAGGGCTATGGTAACCAAAGCAGCATGGTACTGGTACAAAAACAGACACACAGACCAATGGAACAGAATAGAGAACCCAAAAATAAGACTGCACACCTACAACCATCTGATGTTGGACAAAAATGATAAAAAACAAGCAATGGGGAAAGGATTCCCTGTTCAATAAATGGTGCTAGGATAAGTGGTTAGCCATATGCAGAATACTGAAACTAGACCACCTCCTTATACCATATACAAAAATTAACTCAAGATGGCTTAAAGAATTAAATGTAAAACCCAAAACTATAAAAATTCTGGAAGACAACCTAGGCAATATCATTCAGGATGTAGGCACAGGCAGAGGTTTCATGATGAAGATGCCAAAAGCAATTGAATGAAAGCAAAAATTGACAAATGAGATCTAATCAAACTAATGAGCTTCTGCACAACAAAAGAAACTATCAACAGAGTAAACACACAATCTACAGAAAAATTTTTGCAAACTATACATCTGACAAAGGTCTAATATCCAGCATCTATAAGGAACTTAAACAAATTTATTAATTTCTTTACAAAGAAAAAAGCAACCCTAGTAACAAGTGAGCAAAAGTCATGAACAGACACTTTTCAAAAGAAAACATACATGCAGCCAACAATTATTCGAAAAAACAGCTCAACATCACTGATCATTGGAGAAATGCAAATCAAAACCACAATAAGATACCATCTAACATCAGTCAGAATGGCTATTCTTAAAAGTCAAAACATAACAGATACTGGCAAGGTTGTGGATAAAAAGGAATGCTTATACACTGTTGGTGGGAGTGTGAATTAGTTCAGCCATTGTGGAAGACAGTGTGGCGATTCCTCAAAGACCTAAAGACAGAAATACCATTCGACTTAGCAATCCCATTACTGGGTATATACCCAAAGAAATATAAAACCTTCTATTATAAAGACATGTTCATCCCAATGTTCTCTGCAACACTATTCACAATAGCAAAGGCATGAAATCAGCCTAAATGCCCATCAATGATAGACTGGATAAAGAAAATATGGTACATATTTTGTGTACTATGAAATAGTACTATGTACATATGAAATACTATGCAACCATAAAAAGAATGAGATCATGTCCTTTGCAGGGACATGGATGGAGCTGGAGGTCATTATCCTTCACAAACTAATACAAGAACAGAAAACCAAATACCATATGTTCTCACTTATAAGTGTGAGCTAAATGATGAGAATACATGGCCACATAGAGGGGAACAACACACAGTGGGGCCTTTCAGAGTGGGGAGGGTGGGAGGAGGGAGAAGATCAGGAAAAATAACTTATGGGTACTAGGCTTAATACCTGGGTGACGAAATAGTCCAGACAAAAAACACCCATGACACAAGTTTATCTATGTAATAAACCTGCTGTTGTACCCCTGAACTCAAAGTTAAAAAAAAAAGTCTGATACAGGTTGGATCTATGTCCCCGCCCAAATCTCCTGCATAAAAATTCACACATACAAACATTTTTTCTATGCAATTTAGAGGGTACCCAGCCCTAGCTAAGAATCTCTGCTCTATTGATTAAAATTCTAAAATAACTAAAATAGTACGCATTTATTTATTTATTTATTTATTTTGAGACAGAATCTCACTTTCTTGCACAGGCTGGAGTGCAATAGCAAGATCTTGACTCACTGCAGCCTCTGCCTCTCAGGTTCAAACAATTCTCATGGCTCAGCCTGCCATGTAGCTGGGATTACAAGCGTGTGCCAATACGCCCAGCTAAGTTTTGTATATTTAGTAGAGACAGGATTTCACCATGTTGGCCAGGCTGGTCTTGAACTCCTGGCCTCAAGTGATCCACCCACCTCAGCCTCCCAAAGTGCTGGGATTACAGGTGTGAGCCATCATACCCGGCCCCAATATGCATTTTCTTAGTGCCTGAAAGCTACCATGACATGGGCTTGAAATGGGCCCAGTGCAGACTACATGTGCGAGAAGAGACTTCCTCCAGGCCAGCACGACACTTCTTTCCTATGGTCGCAAGTCCCTTTTTCCTCTTTGTGTAACAACTCCACCCTAACCATCTGCAGTTTGCATGTGGTTGAACCAAACCCTAACTCCAAAAACTTAGGTCTGGTCAGTTGGAACCTTCCATTTATTTGGCTACGGTGATGGGTTCGGGGATGGACATATGACCAAAGTCAGGGAGTGAGACTCAATTCCAGGACTCTCTTGAGACTACCGGGAAAAACAAATGCTATTTCTATTGGAGTGGTTGAGAGGCCATGATGTAAGCCAGGGATTCTCAACCAGTGGTGATTTCACCTCCCATGGGACATTTGGGAACAGCTGGAGACATTTTTGGTTGTCTCTTCTAGGGATGTGCTGCTGACATGTATTGGGTAGAAACCAGGGATGCAGTTGAACCTCCTACAAATGCATGGGACAACCATCCCCAACAAAGAATTATTCTGCCCCAAATGCCAATAATGCAGAGGTTGAGAAACCCTTCTGTAAGCTTGGAGTTTGAGCAACTATTTTGGTGTTGCTTAAAATGAGCCTGCCCAAGACTGAGGCCAACTGAAAGGAGATAAAGCTGAGAAATGGAGGAAGAGCAAGTCATGAAGATGTCCTTTGAGATCTGGGATGCATCTCCATCTGAAGTTGAGCCCTGGACTTTACAAAACTGTGTCATTTACAAGTAATTGCTTCCTGATTCAGCCTTCTGTTCATTCAACAACACATGTTCGTTAGGTGGCTGCCAGGTACCAGGACTCTTACTTTCATTGAGTTACACCAACAACGATGATAATGAGAAACAAATAACACACATAAAGAAAATAGAACTGGGAATGGCGGATTGCATACAGAGGCTAATTTAGATGAGGAGGAAACTGGAAATCAACAACAGAACATCCTCTGTGTGCATGCATTGTGGTCCATGGTGTATGAAAATGTAAAGTACATGATATTTGGTGCTCCTGAAAGAGTGTGGCTGCAGTCACAATCATGAAATCCTTGCAGTGTCTTCACAAAATCTCAAGTTCAGAACCCCTCTAGGATTGCTATGTAGGTAACAGTATAGGAGAGAGCATTTCCGATCTTAAAGAGAAAACATGCAGGATTCTGCCTTCAGATGGCATTTTATTTCCTGGCTGGGGCACGAGACAGACATTTGGTATGAAGGACTTTGACTCCTAGATGCTGGCAAGGCAGTGGAGAAATAAGAACGCTTTTACACTGTTGCTGGGAATGTAAGTTAGTTCAACCACTGTGGAAGGCAGTGTGGCAATTTCTCAAGGATCTAGAGCCAGAAATACCATTTGACCCAGCAATCCCGTTACTGGGTATATACCCAAAAGATTATAAAACATTCTATTATAAAGACGCATGCACACGTTTGTTTATTGCCGCACTATTTACAATAGCAAAGACTTGGAACAACCCAAATACCCATCAATGATAGACTGGATTAAGAAAATGTGGCACATATACACAATGGAATACTATGTAGCCATAAAAAGGAATGAATTCATGTCCTTTGCAGGGACATGGATGAAGATGGAAGCCATCATTCTCAGCAAACTAACACCGGAACAGAAAACCAAACAGTGCATGTTCTCACTCATAAGTGGCAGTTGAACAATGAGAACACACGGACACATGGAGGGGAACATCACACACCAGGGCTTGTCTGGGGTGGGGGGCAATGGGAGTGAAAGCATTAGTACAAATACCTAATGCATGCAGGGCTTAAAACCTAGATGACAGGTTGATAGGTGCAGCAAACCACCATGGCACATGTATACCTAGGTAACAAACCTGCACGTTCTGCACATATATCCCAGAACTTAAAGTAAAATTTTAAAAAATTTAAAAAATAAATAAAAATAAAAATAAAAGGACTTTGACACCACGAAATTGCTGAGTCCTGAAAGAGAACAAATGGTTCTGTGCAGACCGGGCACTGCAGAGAGGTGCACAGCTGAGGAGCAAGTGAAGGCTCACATGGAGCCCAAGCTCCCATCACCCAGTCTTGCACCTGCCTTGGGTCTGCCTCTGCTGTGAGGCACTTTCCAAAGATAAGTGGGCAAAGAGTTTCTTTCTTAGTAAATTTAGCTGTGATGTGGTGGGGCTCTTTCTCCCCATCTCCCTTCAAGTGGCGATTAATCAAGGCCTGCATGACTTAGTGTAAGCGGTGTGGACCCACTCTGAGGTCTTTCAGGTGTATAACTCTGTGGGACAGGCCTAAAGGGGCACCCACATTTATTTTCTCAGGTAAAAACATGTTGTTGACTCATGGGGTCTCCACTACAGGTGTGTGAGGCCTGTGCTGTTAGAAGCTTTATCTTGTAGATGGAGATGCCAGGGTGCAGAGAGGTTAAGTAGCCTGCCTAAGGTCACACAGCTCCGCAGTGCAAGATTGACACGCAGGCCTAAAAGGTGAGGTTTCCTGCCAGCCGACGCCCTTCCCTGTGACTATCAGGACTTGCAGACGTTGGGCACTTTGTAAGTGTTGTCTGTTGCCTTCATCTTTCTAAATCCTTTTCTATCCCTGGCCCCCTGGAACTTCCTTCACATCAGCCCCGAGGGTAAACCATGTCTAGGGTGAAATGTTTTCATGGCGTCCTTTTCTTTCTCTGGGAAAGGTGCAGTGAGTACCTCAGGATGCACCGTCAACATCCCCGTGCCACCGCCGCCATCCCACCAACCCCCACCAGGAAGGCCTTCAGAGGCCCGTGGGCGGCAGCCCCAGCTAGGAAAACAGGAGGGTGCGACCCGACCCAGTGCCTCCCAGATAAGGGCCTGGCAGGCAGGGACTGGGCAAGTCCTACCTCCCATAGAGGCATCCTGGGCGCTTCCATTGTTCACTCTCCCGGGAACGCCCAGGGCTGCAGCCTTCTCTGCTGCTGGCACAGGAGGCATCTTTTCTTGCTGAATCGTGAACAGGATCTTGATAAGGCAGCCTTGGCCGTCGGGGATCATCAGATTTCACGTTCCTCTCCCACTCTGGAATAGAACAAGATTTGTGGGGGATGTGTGCTGTGAGCAGGCAAGGAGGCTCAGCTTCCCCAATCCCCCCAGGAGCCTGGAGAGAGGTCTCAAGACTGAGCCTGTGGGTGCACCCTTCCCTTGCTGAATATCACTGTGTGTGTGTGTGTGTTTGTGACCATGTGTGTGCCTGTCCGTGTCTGTGTGTGTGCGCGCGTGTATCTCTGGTGTGTGTCCCTGTGTGTATATGTTTGTGTGCATCTCTGTGTGTTTGTGGCCAGGTGTCTGCCTGTCCGTGTGTATGTGTGTGTGTCCGTGTGTATGTGTGTGTGTCCGTGTGTATGTGTATATGTTTCTGTGTGCATCTCCGTGTGTGTGTTTGTGGCCAGGTGTCTGCCTGTCCGTGTGTGTGTGTATGTGTGTGTCCCTGTGTGTATATGTTTCTGTGTGCATCTCCGTGTGTGTGTGTGTGGCCAGGTGTCTGCCTGTCCGTGTGTATGTGTGTATGTGTGTGTCCCTGTGTGTATGTTTCTGTGTGCATCTCCGCGTGTGTGTGTGTGGCCAGGTGTCTGCCTGTCCGTGTGTGTGTGTGTGTGTGTGTGTGTGTCCCTGTGTGTATATGTTTCTGTGTGCACCTCTGTGTATATGCTCTTGTGTGTTTTGTGGGTTGCAGTCTCAGAGCTCTAATTCCTTTGAAACAGCCCTTCAATCCCTGTAGGTGGGGAAAAGTTTGGAGTTGTTCATCCCTTTTTACTGGAGAAGGTCCACTAAAGAAGAACCAATGTCAGAAGCTTTTCTAAAAAGACACCCTGAGCCCAAAGAGTTCCTGGCTCCAGAGGAACTGCTGGCCAGGGAGGCGATGGGCACGAATCCCATGGCCCACGAGGTGGCGCTAGAGCCTCACGCACCTGCCCCTGCGGAGGGAGCGGGAGTCCGCACACGTTACCTCTCTGGTATTTTACTGCCAAGCTGCAGGTATCGCTCTATAACTCAGAGGCCAATTGTGGCACCACACGGAACTCCCCAAGGGCCATAGCCTCGTTTTATGGACTCTGAGACTCACATCCTGCTAGGGTCAGGGCAAAGGGGGCTCATTATTTTTGGTAATTGGAGCCCCTCAGGTAAAAGGGGTTCCGATTACCAAAAATAAGCAGAACCGTGATCACCTTGATGACAATATATTCTAGAGTTTCTTAAAAAGCATTTTTAATATTGTTTTGCTTTGCACAAGTTGGGTGCAGTGCAACTGAAGATGGGGACTCTGAGGCCTTTCATCTGTCAGAGTCAGTGTATGGCTGGCTGTGGAGCTGGAAGTGGGGGACCAGTCACAGAACCCCCTGAAAGCTGTTGGGACTTGGGAAGAAGATTGGGACCAATGAGTTTCGTGGCCTCCTGCTGTTGGCTGGAGCCTGTGTCCCCAGGTCCAGGCCTAAGAAGAAGAGGACTTCAGAATTGACCATCTTCAAGTCTCCTGCTGGCGGTAGCTTTCATGTCTCTCTCAGGGGTCCAGTGTCCCCACAGGCTGGCCTGGCACGGTCATCATGGCTGTGGGCTGCTGCTGGCACCCACTCCTGCCTGCCTCTCTCCTGCTCTTCACCTGTCCCCATGCCCATGAAAGGGTCAGCATCCACAGCTCCAGTCCCCAGGCCCAACCCCTGGGACAGACATGTCTTGGTTTTGGCCTCTGGGGCTGAACAGCCTAAGTGTTGTCACTCAGACTGTTCGAGGACCTCTTGAACAGTCTTGTACTGGACCGTTTCAGGGTCTAGTACAACAGACACTTTCACCTTCTAAGCCTCTCATTCATAACCAGCTTCAGCCAAAATGACCCCTCTCCACTGCAGCCTCCTCTTCAGCATTTTCCAACTTGCCTGGCATCTCCAGGACCCGGGAACCTTAGCACATCTCTACCTGCCTGCCTACAACGTCCCCAAGATGCGGGACAGTGGCCCCTTGCCACCCCTTAAATTCTCTCTTGCCCCCAAGGTACCTGGGACAAACCTTGTGCTTAGAAAGAATAGAACAAATACTCATAAAACAATTTAATGTCCAAGCTCTTTCTTTCCCTACAGAGTCCTTGCTTCTCTGCCTCTTTCCCTTCTTCTCTCTCTCTCTCTTTCTGTCTCTCTCTGTTTCTCTCACCCTCCATCCTTATCTAAAAGGAAACTTTATTTAAACCCAGGGGCAAGAACTTGATGAGGCAGCTTTAACCATCAAGGATCATTACTTTTAATATTTCTCTCACACTCCACAGTAGATCTGAGCCAAAAGATGGAGAAAGGACTCCCCTGCTCTGAAATATGGCAAGATTTGGGGAAGCCAGTGTGCAGAGGACAGGCTTCCTCCACGAACCTGGACAGGGCCTGGAAAGAGATCTTGGGACTAAACGTGTGGATACACACTTCTCTTTTCAAATGCTGCTGGATGAGTGTGTGTGTGTGTGTGTGTTGTTTGCTGCAATATCATATTGCAGTTCATATTGATGGGAGAAGTTTGCACTTGGTCCCCCTCTTAACTGGAGAATAACCCCCAAAGAAGAGCCACTGTGAGAAACTTTGGAGCAGCAGATCTATAGATGGCCCTTGGGGTGTGGGGTCATCACAGTCACTGAAACACGAGCCTCCTGCAGACTGCACCAGCTGTGCCCTCCAGGGCCCAGGCTCGGTCCCTCTTCCCACAGTGCGTGGGAATCTCTCCACACAGGGGCTGTGCTGCTCTACTGAGTCAGCGTAGAGGTGTTTGATGTCACGAGGAGAGCAGGGCCGGCCAACATCGTTGGATGAAGGCTTCAGTCATATTTCCACAAAAAACAGACGTGTTCTCCTTTGTTGATCCTCAGTAAGGGCACACCGATGTGATTGCTGTTATTAATATACGCTCTTTAGTTTGTCACAAAAGGTGCTGTGTCCCAGCGCTATTACCATCTGTGAAGGTTTGTTTTGCTTTCTATCTCTTAATCAGATGTCCTCAAGTTCAAAGAAGCAGTTTGTTATACATGTTTAGTCGTTGATGCAACCACCAAAGACATCATTGCTTTCTAATGAAGGGAAAAATCATTCCTTTCTAGTGAAAAATCTTCAAATTTGGAGTCAGAGTCCCCACCAATCTCACTAAGAACCTGTTTCCATGTGTTTGTGTCTGAGACACTCGTTGATTATTTCATCTCCTTCTCAGATAGAGTTCAGAAAAGCACCTCAGATTTAATAAGGAAAATGTAGGCACATTAACTCCTAATGGAGTAAAGAGAAGATAAGAGACCATTGTGCTTCTCAGGTGCCCAGAAACTCCTGTTGTTTTAGTGTAATATTGTCAGCCTCCCATTTGTTCACTCCAAGATCATTTATTAAAGAAGACGGAGAAGGAAAGCGATGTGAGCTGAGCACTTTCACGGGGCCGGGTGCTCGCTGCACGCAGGCTGGGGTCTGAGACGGATAGAGCTAGTCCCAGCCCCCTAGGAGCTCAAAACAGTGCAGCAGCTCTAAAAATGAGGCTTCCAGACCACCTGCCTCTGAATCACAGGGTTTGTGTGTTAACAATGTGCATTTCTGAGTGTGGCCCAGATCTATGCTGTCTTTACTGCCCATGCTACAGAAGCACCGCCTGGTGGATAACTAGACAAGTCAAGTGAAATCCTAGCCCAACATTGTACATGTTGTGTAAGGGAACAGCCACTGAAAACCAAGATGATGGCAAACACTTAGCTCATGATCCATCACAGGCCTGCACTGAGTGCTGCAGGTGTAAACTCCTGTAATGCTGCAACAACCTTTCTAGGTGGTGTCTGCTGTCGCCTCATTTTGTGGGTGGGGAAACTGAGGCACAGAGCGGTCAAGTAACTTTCCAAGGTCGCACAGCTGGAAGGCTGAGTGGAGGTGGGATGCTAACCCCAGTGGTCTAGCTTCAGAGTCCAGGATCTTGAGTGCTAGGCTACCCCGCCTCTGCTAGGGTGTTAGAACGAAGACCCTCTGTGTTAGAAGGATAACTAACCACTTAGAAAATTCCGTCTTTGAAGGTTTGGGCTGAATTGTAGATTTACAAACTGGGACTGAAATTTGGAAATACTGGACCCAATGAAATTAGAGAAAAAGAATGGTTTGGTTGGAAGAGAGATGAACAAAGGTATGCAGGACCTTTATAAAGAAATAATTAAGACTGTTGCCCTGGGAAGAAGCCCTGGGGTTCCCATTTGAAAGTACACTTGAAGGGAGGAGAGGACCAGCTGAACCAACCTGGGGCCCAATGGAGGCTTCTTCAGCCCGTGGAGCCAATTTCATGCTCCTCCAAGAGATGGCGCTGGCGTTTCTGAAACCGGAATGGGTGCCTCTCATTCCAAAGCTCCCCAGAAGTCCCTGGGCTCCTATTTTGTTTGTATGTTTGCTTCAAACCTGGAAAACCTTTACCTCTGTTCCTCCACAGTAGGGAAAATACACTCCTCTGCTGGTGTGAGGTAGATGAGGTAACTGGCCATAATCAAAGTGTTTTAAAGCTAAGTGTCTGTAGATCTGTAGGCAGGAACTGAGAAACAGAACTCATTCCTGTTGAGTATCCACCAGGTGAGCCGTTGCACAAACCCCTAATCTTCTCGACAAGGATTCTGTTGAATAGGTTATTATTTTTTTAATCCTGAAATCAAGGCTCTGAGTGGTGAGATTGCTTGCCAAGCGACACGGCCCATGCATGCTAGAGCTGGGATGGAAACCCGGGCAGGTCTGATGCCTTTGCCAGCTCCGTTTCCACCACACCACTCTGCCTCAGAGGACTGTGTAGATATCTCTGCCTATGGGATGAGCCATCAGTCATCAGTGTGCTCTGAATATAACCCGCCCCCACACCAAAAAAGGGAAGCTGTTAAATTCCAGGTGCTAATTTGTTTTCTTAGTATTTGCTTTTCTCCTGAAGGTGGAAGCCATCCGATTAATCAAGGGCTTCAGTTAGTTGCGTGCAGGCTAGCTCTAGGGTTTCGTGTGCTTCCTGCTCCAAATTGCTGTGTGACCATCGCCTATAATCCACGCAGCTTAATATCCCTTACAGGAACAGTCAGTGAGGACTTCCTTTTTAGGAAATGAAAAGCAAACAGAAAGGTCTTTTATTTCAAGGTTCCTGAATTTCCCACCCTCTGGTCCTACTTTACATCTTCAAAGC